GAAGGGACAGATGTCGGGGAAAAAGCTGATTATTGTCAAAGGCTGGAGGCTGTGACCGGAGTGCTCGGTGAGCGTGACCCAATTCTGAGCTATTCTCAGCCTGGTGGGAGCCAAGTTATTCCCTCCCGCTGAAGATCCCGCCTTGGAGGCAGCCTGACTTTGAAACGCCCTCGTCCTGGCAACAGACTCAAAGCAGGCTGGCCAGGATGCTCTGCATGGACATGGCCCTACTTGCTGATAACCCCTGTGCACAGCCCACAGGCTCTGCTGCCTGGGCACAGGATGGTGGCTTCTGCAGCTACAGCCCAGGACTAGGAAGGGACAGAAAGGGCTCGCTCCTTTATCTTCCCAGACCAGTGACCTGCTGTTCCTTCTTATTCCCCAGGACCTCTCTCTCTGCTCCAGGCCAGGCATAAGATATGCTTCAACCAGTAACTAGGAAGTCTCTCTGGACACAATGAGACCAAGGGCTTTGACAGCCACAATGCAGCTGGGCTGGGACCTGCTGTACCTAAGCTCGTGATGTTGGCACAAGTCCCAGCAGGAGGCAGCCAGCAGCAAGAAGCTGACATCACTCTGCTCTACCCGAAGCCTCTCAAGAGCAGGTCTGTCTGTTGTTCTCTCCCTTTTGGGGTTACTTGTTACCCAGCACGTTCACAGCAGCAGCTAGTGAATACAGCACCTGGAGAACTGTAGGGGTCAAGAGAGGTTGTCTGCTCATGCCTAGCCCAGGCAGAGCTAGTCAGCTTCAACACACAAGAAAGCAGGACCAACGCCCTGACTTTCTCTCCCATGGTCCTGATGACTCAAGGGCCCCAGAGGTGCAAAGGCTATTTGGAGTGCCTGCAAGGGCTATTCTGCTGTCTGGAGCAAAGGCACGTCTCGGATGGACCAGAGATGGAACTCAAATTCTAAAACAGACAAGAGGGCTAAGCTGGAGACAGTTCAGCTGCTAAAGCATTTGTCTCAAGTTGAATGCTCAGAATCAATGTGAATCTGATAGGTGTGATGACATATTTATAATCCCAGTGCTAGAGAGGACACATGGGATTCCTGGCCAGCTAATCTCACCTAACTGGTGAGCTCCAGATCAATGAGACCCTATCTTAAAGGAGGTGGGTGACATTCCCAAAGATACCTGTGGCTGTTCTCTGGCTTTCACACACATTTTTACATGTACACATGCTTACAAGCATACACACACTTTTATTGCTTATTTATTTTGCAGAGAGGGGCAAGGATGCTCGTATGTCCCATGGTGCACATGTGGATGTCAGCCAGAGTTGGTTCTCTCCATCCACCATGTGGGTCCCAGAGACTGAAGCAAGGTTATCAAGTTTGGTAGCAAGAGCCTGTCTTTACCCGCTGAACCATCTTGCCAGCCCACTCTTATTCACAGTGGCAACTGGCGAGCTGACTGCCCCAACCACTGACACAACACACTCTCCATAAGCCACGAGGCAGTAGTTGTCTCATCCCCACAGGGAGGTGACTCACCACCAACCTGACGGGGTATATCTGGAGCACACCCCCACCCTTGATGCCTAAGCAGATTGCCCACCTGAACCCTGCTGTCAGGTCAGCTCTATCAACCCGCGGCCCCATCCTTGGGAGGGCTTCCCAACTCTGATCCACATAGCAGGGTTGAGCCCCGGCTTTTCTCTGCTGCTCATGTATCTCACACTATGTGCCTGGATCAAGCAAGGCCAGCTGTGTAAGTAAAGCTCCTTACCAATGTGGGCACTGACATCTCCCAGATGTTCCTGTGGCCTCAGCAGCTCAGGCCTGATGGAGGCCCCTCCCTCAGGAGTCTCCTATTCAGTTGACCAAGCAAGAAGAGCCTAGGCTGGCCTGAAGTCCAGGGGTCTTCGCCGACCCCTCCCCTTCGGCCTCTGATGTACAAGCTGGGCGGGGCTTCGCTTCCCCTGCCTGTGCAGCGTTTGCAGTGGGGGCAGGGGGCGCCTCTCCTTGGTGTTGGGAGTCCTCTGGCAGCCTGTCTCTTCCAGGATGCAGACCAGGCTGAGGCATGAAGACCAGACAGGAGGGTGCATCAAGGGCAGGTTCCAGGAGATCGAGACAATGTAAGAGGCAGAGGTGTCTCTTAAACCCTGAACCACCACTCCTCACCTGGAGACCCAACACGAGATGCCAGGGCCCTTGTTGGAAACCCCTCAGACACAAGGCAGCACATGTTGAGGCCTGGGCACAGCCTACAAGTGGCCAAGAAGGAGGTGTACCCCTTAGGAGAAGCTGACTGTCCTGGCCCAGGAATGCATCCAGGGCCTCCCAGGGTTGGCACCGAAGTCAAGCTCCTGCCAAGGAGATGTGCTGCTGCACCATTCCTACCGCTGGAGGTTGTGACCCAGTAAGAGATCTAAGGGAGAACTGAGGGCCAGAGACAGGAGTCAGGCTGGCTGGGGAGTTTCTAGGACCTCGTGCCGGGAGTCCTGAGCTTGTGTCAGGTGATCGCGCAGGATGGGTTAACTGGACTCACCAGCCATGGGAGTCAGACTCAGTCTGTAGCACCTAGGGACCTTTGTCTTGGGGGCTTCCCTCAGCAGATCAGGGGAGGGTGTGGGGCAGAGGGACAGCTGAGCTGAATGCTCTTGGCTGGAAGTGGGTAGGTCTGGGAAACAATCAGGAAGGGATGATTCACCTAAGCATGGTGCACTCCTTTAATCCCAGCACCCAGGAGGCAGAGGCAGAGGCAGAGGCAGGCAGATTTCTGATTTTAAGGCCAGCCTGGTCTACAGAACAAGTTCCAGGCAGCTAGAGCGACACTGAGAAACCCTGCTCAAAAAACAAAACAAAACAAAACAAAAAACAACAAAAAAAACCAAATAAGTAAATGAGGATGATTTGAGCAGAGCCTTAGAGACACAAAGTTCACGGCTAAGTTCAGTGCCAGGTGGAGCTCGAGTCTGAGCTGGGCTCAGAGGTGAACCGGGGTTGGACTAGTCCTCTAAGGCCCAGATAATACAAAAGCCAGAATTTGGCTAGCCCACAGGACAGTAGGTAGATTGGGTTTTTCCAGCCTTGGCCACAGCTCCTCACCCAGGCCTTGGTAACTCCCCCAGGACATCTAGCCTCATGAGCCCCATATGAAAAAATGATATCCTGGGCCTTACTGGCTAATGGTCTGTGTTCCACAACTGAGCCACAAGGTAACTCTGCCTCTTGCCGTTTACCTGTTGGCCGGGAGCCCTTCCCCAAGGACAGAGAACACGGGGGTCAGGCCAGGTAAGCAGGGTGCCTGCCACAGGTGTGCAGGTCATCCAGCTGACAACCTTTTAGGAACTCCTGGCACTGAAGTGACCCACTTTATGTGTGACATGGCCCAGGGACCTCTCTCATGTCCTCCAGGCTAGGCATTAACTTAAAGCCCCTTGGAACAAGGCTAGTGGTCCTAGGGACCCTGAACAGCTCTGAAGGCGCACAGGCCTCCCAGGCTGGGGACCTTCCATCCACAGGTGACCCTAGTTGACTCTGCACAGGGAATGGGCAGCCTGGGAAGGCACCACCAGGGACGTTGAGTTAGTTACTCAAGGACATGTGGGAAGGAGAGTGGGACAAGAGCTCCAGAGGGAGGCCTGGTACCCTAAGCCACAGAGACCCACTACTCCCTCCACCTCCAGGAACAAGAGGCCCTTTCTGCAGTGGGTGGAGGTGGCCACACACTTGTGCCTTTATGAAGAGCCCTGGGATTCTGTTCTAGAGCTTGGAATCCCCACAGTACCTACTCAGGATAGAGAGGAAAGGACAGAGGTCAGGACGCCAAGTGTGGGCCAGTAGGCCTGGACAACTGAAAGCCAGTCCCTCCAGCCAGGACAGCCAGCACAGTAGGACAAAACATTTATTGCTCCACTAGGTACCCTCAGGGGCCAATATGACACGGGCAATTCTCCCAATGGCTGGTTCCATGCATCAGCAGCAGCTGCAAGGCAGCCCCACGCCAATATGATCCGGGCACTGAGACTCCCTTGAAGCTAGCCACACACCAGGTATAGACGCCAGGCCCAAGGTGACATGTGCAGCAGGCCCGTGGCCCCTCTTTGACCCTTGCTCCAACATGGGCTTGACGGGTCACTGGAGGCATAGCCCTGTCCTACTGGACCCCTTCCACAGGATGATGCCTGATTCTAGATGACAGGAATTCTGGGTACAAGTGCTCACACACAGCCTGTACAGCACTCAAGGCTGTAGGCTCACCACCTTGGATCTCTAGGCCAGCCTGGTCCCTTCATCAGCCCTGGAGAAGTTCGGAGGAGAGAAAGGCAGGACCAGGCTTTCTGGGTTAGCTGAACCACAGCTTTTGGCTGTGGACCACCAGTGGCTGGAGCCTTGGACCAGGGATGAGACAGTCCATTGGCCCTGTAGATCAGCTCAGGCTTTAGGCAATGCCCAGAGCTTCCTCTGCCCTCAGCTTGTACCATCTGGTCTCCACACCCAGGAGAGCCTACAGCAGGGGAAACTTCATGTTGACAAAAAGCAGACAGAACAGAGCTGGAGATGGGCAGTGATGAGGTGGAGGCTTCCCTCTCAGAACATAGGAATGCCTCCCTCCTGAACAAGGCCAGCCTACTCACCCCCCTCAACCACCCAGGAGGCCCCTGCCCCACCCTGCCATCTATTTCTAAACACCAGCCCACAGGCAGCGGCTGACCATATAAGGCAGCTTCTGGCCTCCTTGCTTGCCTGTGATACTCCTGTCCAGGCCCACTAGCCTGGAGTCTTGGTGGCAAAAGTCAGGTAGCCAGTGTGCCCTACAGTCTCCTTCATGGGTGTGCCACTACGGAAGGGGCTGGCATCGGAGCCCACGCTGACCTCTAGGTCATTGGCCCCCAGGTCAGGCAAGGGCAGACTGACGGTGCGTACATTGTAGACCTGTGGCAGCACCTCCAGGGTGCTGAGCTCTGTGAAGCCACGGGCTGCCAGCGCCTGGCACGTGCGCTGCACCTGCTCAATGCATGGAGAGAAGGAGCAGAAGCGTCCACCTGTAGGAGCAAGACACAGGGTCAGAGGGCAGGGCCAGTAGCACCCACAACCCACCCTGGAAGGAGCTATGCAGGGGCCATGGGAAGTTGGAGAGCTGTACGCTACCTGCTGACCCATGGGGCAGGAGCCCAGGTCAGCAGCCAGGATGAAGCCCAAGATGCCTGGGTTTCCCTGGCTGCCAGCAGGCATTGCCGGTGTGCCTTGTAGGAGGCAGTGGAGGGCTGGGGGTCAGGGTTGTCAGAGCCAGGCCCAAGAATAGCTCTAACAATAGGGTAGCATGGGGCGGTGTGTGGGCTGCTGCTGTCACAGGAAATTAGAGGCTGTCGTTGGCTTTTGGGAACAGGAGGAGCCTAAAGGGAGCACAGCCTGAGCTCCTCCCTGCTGCCTCCCACTGGGGCAGCCCACAGGCTTCACTCGGCCTGCCCAGAGACTGAGAGTGCTCCATCTGTGTCTTGGCAGGGGATCATGAGCAAGCCAGGGCAGGGAAGGAGTGTGTACAAACGTCCCTGGTACCCACAGTGCTCTTTGACATGGGACACCTGGCAGGTATGAAGGAGGAGGAGGCCTGATGTCGGTACCGAGAGCCCACTGTCACTAAAGAGCAGAGCACACCACATACTGCACTGCCAGAAGCCACCAGACACAGGCAGTGCTAGAAAACACCAGGCATACAAAAAAGGCACCTAAGCATCAAGACACGGGAAGAGTCCAGAAGAGGGGGACAGGGGACAAAACCGAAACACAGGCACAAGTGCCTCTGGACTACTCTGCAAGGCTGAGTCCGGCCTGGCTTGGACCTCAAAGGGGCTGGACCAAACCAAGGACCCTGCATCAGGGAACCTTCAGGTGTGGACCTCCAGGATTCTCCGCCCAGCTCTAGGCCACCTCAGCATCACAAGGGACACAGGGATATGGGCAGAGCCTGAGGCAGCAGGAGGGCCCGGGCTCCTGCCTGTCTGAGAGGCTCCCCGCCCTCTGTACAGAGCTGGGAGGAGAGCAGCCCTGGCTGCCAAGCCTGTTTCTTCTCCAGAAAAGGCAAAATCCCTGGGACTCACCAGCCGCCTCTCTGGCTCGGGGCCGACCTTCTCCAGGCCTCCCCATCGCTCCGCCCCCACAGCATCTTCCCTAAAAGGGTCCAGCTGCCTGGCTCTGCAGCACGGGTGTGGAGACTCTGCAGGAAATGGCTGGGGGCAGGGGACTGCCTGTGACCTCCATATTGGATCCAGGCCTGGAGTGCTGTCATGCAGATCCTGCCTACACTTGGATGGAGCTGCCAGGCCCCAGGCCCCCAGTAAGTTCCTCTCTTGGCTGAAGAATGGGACCCATCTTTCCCTAACCCTGGTCTCTAGCCAGCCCAAACCGGTCCTCACTTTGGGACAGAAGAAGCCCTGGCCTGGCCATTGCTACTGTGGCCTACAGGAACCTGGGTCTCCCTGGGTTCTAGATGACCCAGAAGCTCAGCCCCCCACCAGCCCCCTTACCGACACCACTACACACCTTCAACCTTGAGGGCATCCCAGGCATGGCCCACAGCTTCCCAGGGTGATGGGATGTCCAAGAAGACAGCATCAGCCACATGGATCACACCAAAGCCACTACGGCACACATCCTGGGTGTGCACAGTCACCCACTGGCTCACCCGATGCTCCTGGAACTCCTCCCGGGCCTTGTCTGCCCGCTGCTGGTGGAACTCCACCGTGTGTAGGTGGCCAGTGGGGGCGATGCTGCGGATGATGGCATGGGAGACAGACCCACTGCCCGTGCCTGGCAGGACAAGAGAGCACTGAAGGGTCATCTGAGGACCCACCCATAAACAGCTCCCTCTCTGGGAGGAAGGAGTTCAAACAGGCCTAAGAGGACAGCTGACCCGAGGGTCAGAGGTAGATATCATATCATGAGCTACATGTCTGCTCTTGGCAGCCTCAGCCCTAGGTTTGGAATGTTGGGCTGTGTAGTATAGGCACAGGTGAGGACAGGGCAGCCCGTGGGGCTGACACAGGTGAGTCTGGGTAGGGCTAATGCTGGCCTGTCCTATCCTCACCTAGCCTCCCTGATCAACCCATGGGTCCCGCTGACAGCTGTCCATCTTACCCATGGGTCTCGCCGACAGCTGTCCATCTTACCCACCCATGGGTCTCGCCGACAGCTGTCCATCTTACCCACCCATGGGTCCCGCCGACAGCTGTCCATCTTATTTTCTCCTCATCCTGCAAGCTCCTTGACTCACTCAGGTCAGTTCATCCTCCCCACACCAACCCTGCTAAACCCACCCCCCACCACACAGGGGCAATTCTACCTACTCTTGCTTGAACTCACGTGATCTAAAGCCACCCTGCTCCACCCTTCCCATGATGTCACCAGTCTGTCAAAACGCCTGCACTCTTCCTTAGAAGCAGGGCTACCCTTCTTCACCTGACTTCATATACTCCAGGACCTGGGCTAACCTGTCTCCACTCACCCCATAACTGCCCCTTCCACAGCTCCAAGCACCCCTGCTTGGTGACCACATCTAGCAATGTGTCCTCTTGACCCCACTGTAGCGTGTTCTACAACTACCCCTCAAAAACCTAGATCAAAGCTGGACCCTATCCAAGACCCAGGAAGTGACACCCACCACAGGGGCCAGACTGCTCAGTCACCCACCATCAAGATCCACTTTGCCACCCCACCTCCAATCACCGTGATTCTTTCTGCCACCCCTGGGCCTCATCCGCCAGGTACCTCTCTCTCTATGTTATCGACAGACACTCACTGGTCCTGCCTCTGTTCTTTTGACCACTGTCAATCAGATCTACCCTTTGCAAAGAGGCAAGCCTTACTTTCCCATTCAAGGGAGACTCCAGACTTCTGACAGCCCTCTGGGGGGTTCTCTTCTTGCCTCCCAACCTCATTTACTGCTCCTCTGTCCTTACTTCCTGCTCCACAGTGGTCTTGCCAACATGCACCAGCACCGTACTCCTACCTCAGGGCATTTGCACAACTTGTCTTTGGTTTTCTGTAGTACCTCATCATTTGTAACTCAAAGATCACCTTCTCAGATCCCTGACTTTCTGAGTTTGGGGGATTCCCACTAAGTCCTCTCAAATGAGCATCCCTGATTATAAGTTTCTCACCATCAGTAGCACCGAACGGTCACGGCTCACTGCCTGTCCTGTCTTTTTGAGGGAACTCGGTACCTCATGGGAGCACAGGAGTGTGTTGACTGGAAAGGGGTGAGGGCCTGAAAGAGGATAGTGCCTACTGCAGGGCGCGCGGAGAGTTGTCAGGGCTGGCTCTGAATTCTGCTGTCCTCTGTCTCCCTCTGAAGGGAGGGAGCAATATAAAGTCTGAGAAAGCCAGCAACAGGGAAAATGGGAACTCTTGAGACTCTGAACCCGTCTCCTAGCCCACCACAAACACACCACCAAGGATCGAGGCACAACTGGTCCAAGAACCACTCTTGTCAGAGATACATGCCTAGACTGCCGCACCAGTGGCCACAGCACCTGCGGTGTGACTGTGAGAGACAGCTAGACCTCGGGCACTTCTACCCACTCCCTGGCTGCGAAGGAGTGTGGGGCAGAATTTTCACTACAGTGAGCTCTTGGGGTAACCAGCCTTCCTCCAGGAAAGGACAACTGGCCTGGAGGTGAGCCGTCAGCACCTTGGCCAGCACCAAGCAAGTCAAAGACCTTCATAGGCACCACCGTCTCCTCCCCTTCCTTCTCTAACCCAGTTGGTCCCCACCAGGTGTCACTTGACAGTAGACACTAAGTTTCTCTGCTCTGTCTTCACTCCCTGCAGTCACACCCTCCCCACCAAGTGGAGCTGCTAGAACAGAAACCAAGTAATTCAGCATACATCCGCAAGAAGGGTTGGCTGCAAACTGCTTAACTGTGGATCTGACTTCCGATTTATGTAGATGCTCAGCTCTGAAGACACCAGAGGAGCTCACCTGATTCACAGACCACAGAACCGGGTCGCAGCTCCAGCATCATGGTGAGTAAGGCAATATCGGTGGAGTAGAGGATCTGTGTGCGGTGGGGCAAGTTCACTGTCCAGAGCTCAGGAGTGGGGTGAAGTACATACACCCAGCCGCCTCTGCTGCAGATCACCTTGGAGCCAAATGGGCGGCCAATGAGGTCAACTGAGTGCCGCAGGACGCCATGCCGGGTCTGGGTCTGTGCCCCACGCTGCACACGCACTGCCATCATCGAGCCATGGCCTAATGACAGGATGGCTGTGTCGCCTTCTTTGATCAGCTCCTCGTATGCCACAAAGCTCATGGTGTTAACATCTGCCAAGTGTCAGGGACCTGGGGAAGTGGTGTATGGGTGTGAAGTCAGAGGACCAGAAAGCAGGATGAGGGTCTGTGGTTTGGGTAGAGGTCTGTGAGGCCCGAGTTCTGAGCAGTATGGGTAACTGACTTGATCGGGCAACCCAACAGAGCTGCACCCTAGCTTGACATATGGAGCCCTTCTAGATCTGGGAGGACACAAGAGAGTGTGCAATGGTAGAAGCCCAAGGATTCCCACACAAGAAGGACCAGTGCAAAGTCTTTTCTTCATTCCCCAGCTGTGAAGGCGGCGGCCTCTGAGAGGCGTGCAGCAGCGGGAGAGCGAAGTCACCTCCAAGCTAGGATTCCGCGGAACCCCTTGGCCCGAGTACCTCGGGCGGGCTCCCGACGGCAGGGAGGCTGGCTACCCGAGGAACAGCACGGGACCTGCAGGCAAGCCCGGAGCGCCTCTCCCGCCCTAGCCGCGCATCCCGCTCAGAAACTCACCCAGCGTACGCCGGCTCTCTGCTCCACACGTGGCTCCGCTGCTGCCGCCACACTTCCGGTGCGCTTTGATGACGTTACACCACCGCAAGGGTTGCCGGGAGCCTCTACGCTGTCCTTTACGCGCTCCCAGAGGACGTTTCCTGGCTGGCGTCTCCCCGTCTGAGGCCTTCTGTGCATACTTGCGCGTTGCTAAGAAATCCGAGCACTGTGCAAAATAAAAGTCCCCTCCTCGCCAGTGGTTTGTCTGCGTGCGGCCTTCTAGGGCTGCCCAGCGCGTGGGGCTTCTGCCCGCCGGGTACGCCTGACCCTAAAGCGCACTTTGACAACTGTACAACCCCAGGACCTCCCTACTAGTGCTCACCAGAACATTTTGTCATTGCAAACAGCTCCGAAACACCCTGCCTGGACTCCAGGATGAATCCTAGAAAGTGGAACCGGAGGGCAGAGGCGGGGTGCCCAAAGGCTTTGGCCAGGCCAAGGATAAGGAGTAGGGGTAGTCTGGAGTATTCTGCAAAAGTGGCCCTAGGCCAGGCCCGGCCATCTCTGGCATCTTGAGAGCCGGATGAACTGGGCTCACTCGTGACCTGGGGGAGGAGCTTCTGGAGACCAGGCAGAAAGGGGAAGCTGTAGGGGTGTTTTGTCTCAGCAGAGTTGAATCAGAGCCCCCATGGACTCCTCGTGAAGGAAGGTTCTTCCCCGGGGTGGAGAGGGGAGGAGGGATGGGGTAGGGAGAGCGAAGAGCCTTCCTGCAGTCCTCAGCTAGCGGAACTGGAGGGCATGAGACTTCAGCTATTCAGAACCAGTAGCAGTGACCAAATCTAGTCTGCTCTCTCCAGCAACCAGGCTACTGTAGCCTGGTAAAATAGGGTTGGTCACGACCCACAAACATGCCTTGTCTAGAGTCTTGCTGGCTTATGGGAATCCTCTGGGGCCAGGCTAGGCCAGCCTTTGTGAGGTCCTTGCCCTAGAAACCCAGGTGCCTGACATTAGACCTCTTCAGGTCTCTGCCCTGGCTGGCCTTGATCAGGTAGCCTGTAAGGATAGGCAATGAGGCTTTCTTGGTCTCTCATGGTGTGGAGTCACAGCTTTTAGCAGAGACGCCCAGCCCTGTCCTTGGCTCCACAACCCCTGTTCTTCATTCCCTTGATGGTGCACAGCCCAGTCCACACCCTTAATTGCTCCTCTGGGGAGTTAGACTTTCCACTTCTCCTGGGAGGTTCCTCTTCCCCAACCTCTCAGCGGCATGGAGACCAGGCCTATGTTTCCACCTAACCTATGAGCTCAACGGGGCTTTTCCCGTGGTCCCCGCTGTCCAGTGCTGGCTTCCCTGGAATCTTCAAGCAAAAACCAGCCTCCCTGAGCCTCTAGCTGGTGGTGGTGTGTGTGGAGGGGCTTCCCAGGGCAGTTTATACACTGGGTTCTCCTAACAAAACTGATGCCACATGCATCCAGCTAACTGTCATGTCATTGAACCTTTCCCTACTATCTTTTTTTGTTTGTTTGTTTTTCGAGACAAACAAAGCTGTGTAGCTTTGGTGCCTTTCCTGGAACTCACTCTGTAGCCCAGGCTGGCCTTGAACTCACAGAGATCCGCCTGCCTCTACCTCCTAAGTGCTGGGATTAAAGCCACCACTCGGCCTTCCCCACAATCTTATGACCACTTTACAGGTTAATTTGCCTATCATACACACAACATGGTTCAAGCAGGATTGAATTTTGTCTTTGAGACAGTTCCCTATGAAGCCTTGGCTGGCCTGGAACTCACTATGTAGTCCCTGCTGGCCTCAGGCTGGGAGAGAGATCTGCCTTCCTCTGCCTACCAAATACTGGGATTAAAGGTGTGTGGCACCATGACCCAAGGGATTGGAGTTTAAAGCCTACCTTCAGAGAACTGATAGCACACTTGAAGGGAGGACCAAGAAAAGAGGAAGCCTGGAGGTAAAGAAGCTGAAGTTGGCTGGGTGCACGCCTTTAATCCCAGCACTTGGGAGGCAGAGGCAGGCGGATCTCTGTGAGTTCAAGGCCAACCTGGTTTACAAAGCGAATTCTAGGACATTCAGTACTGTTACATTGATAAACCCACTCTCAAAACAAAACAAAAAAGCAGCTGAAGATGTCTTTGGGGGAGGCTGCTCTGGCAGGGACCTCTGGCAGGGTCTGGGTTGCCAAGTGTTCCCTCTGAGCGGGGCAGTGGTGGCACTAATCACAGCACTCAGGATGCAGAGGCAGATCTCTGTAAGTTCAAGGCCAGCTTGATCTACAAAGTGAGTTCTAGGACAGCCAGAGATGTTACACAGAGAAACCCTGTCTTGAAAACCGCAAACATGAGTTCCCTTGACTGGCGTAACCTCCTGACTCGCTGTGCCCTGCAGCCCCTGCCTCTCTCCTGACCCTTAGCAACTCCCCCCTTGCATTCCATGAGCAAGGGAGCAGAGAGGAAGTGATGCACCCTGGGCACAGGACTGAGGATGGCCTCTGTGTGGAACCGAGAGCCTGGCCCTGCCTGTGCCTGCTGGGCTGGACCATGCTCTGTGAATAAAAGACCGGGGTTCCTTTGAGGCCCCTTCCAGGCCCTGTGGTTAATGTATGACTTGGTGTGATTTCTAAGGAGATGGAACCATAAATCTCCTGAGTGATGTCACCCAGCTTCTTGCCCAGAAGCTGCCAAACCAGCTACTGTGATTTCCAAGGATAGCAGAGGGTCCACAGTCAGGTCTAGGCTAGATGAGCAGGCCTCACCTTGCTCCCTTGCTCTGAGGGCCTCCAGGACTTCCCAGCAACTACCCCCAAGTAGGGGTCTCACTTTGATATTGTGCTCTGAGGCTGTGAAGGCTTTTCATCTCTCTAGCCTGCTGCTCTGCGAATCTGCAGAGCCCCCAAAGGTAGGCACCCCAGGGCCACCGGGGGAGAGCTGAGCCTCTGATCCAGCACTTCTTTCTCTCTACAGCCAATCTTCCTTTGTTTCTGTCCTTGAATGGGACAGAGGCTAAAGGTCACGGAACCTGTCTGAGTGCTGAGTGCTGGGTGCTGGGTGCTGGGTGTGGCTTACTGCTAGGGTGGACAGGCTGCAGCCTTGCTTTCTGTACCTCACTTTTACAGAGTCCTGGCCTTGCAGGGAGATGGGAGGCTGAGAAACTGTAAATGCTGGAGACAAAGAGGAAGCCCTGCGGGGCGGGCGCCCCTGCCCCCCGTGTGGACATCAAGCTTGCTTCCTCTCTGTTTCTACAAACAGAAACTTGAGCACTTGGGGCTTGAGCAAACCAGTTTCCCTGAGAGGGGTAGGTACTGGGTTGGCAGCTGCAGATATTTCTGAGAGGGCCTGAAGGGGGCATAGAATACAGGGATTACAAGCTTTACAAGCTTATGGTACACCTGCTGTCTAGCCAGTGGATTTATTTTTTTATTTTTTTTTGAGCCAGGAGCTTGTGTAGCCCAAGGTGGCTGTGAACTTCTGATCTTCCTGCCTCCATCTCCCATGTGCCGGAATAATAGGTGTTTGTCACCACCATACCCATGCTTGTCTCCTCATACTTTTTTTGAAGGGGTTTCAGGGTCAGGGTCAGGGTCTCTCCATGTAATCCTGGCTGTCCCAAAACTCACTATGTAGACTTGGCTGGCCTTAACTCACAGATGATCCACCTGCCTATACTTCCTGAGTGCTGAGATTAAAGGAGGTGGGCACCACCATGCCCAGCACATACCTTCTTATAAGGGATTGTTTTAATTGGCTTACAAAATAGTGACTTGACCTGGGTATGGTGGCTCAACCCTAAAATGTCAGAACTTGGGAGGTTGAGGCAGGAGGAGCCTGGTTTACAGGCTCCTGTCTCAAGACAAAAGCAGTCGAAGCTGGCCCAGGTGAATGAGGAACCAGGTGGAGTCATTGCAGTGGCTTTTCATGCTCACCGAGGCTGGGGCGGGCGGGCAGGCAGGCTTTCCGCCCCGAGTTCTTTGCTCCACAGCCTTCTGCTGAGGCTCCTGCACATCATCTCTCAAGCCTGGAATTCCTGTCATCCCTCCCGCAGTCATTTGCTCAGGGCAGGCTGTCTCCAACAGAAAGGCAGAGATCCTCCCCTGTGCACCTCCTTCCGGGTCCCTTGCATCCGGCACCTGGCATGAGCTCACTGTGAAATGACTGGAGCAATTCTGTCAAACGCACAGGGATGAGAGGTCCTCTAGCTCTTGCTTTATTAGTGCGGCAGTGAGGGGCTGTGAGAGGACATTATGCATGAGAGATCACGTCTATATTTTTACCAACCGCACCATCCACCATTCTGCACCCTTTTCTGCCGATAGCTGGTGTCTCCCTCCTCAGAGATGAGCATCAGGTCTTATCCGAACTTGTCTTTCCCACTACACCTTTCCTGATCTATTTGCAGAGAAGGGACACCGCCCTTCCTATAAGCTGGATTCCTAGAATTCCTGGGATTGCTAGGTCATGGTGTTAGAACGTTTTTATTTTAATAAATACTGCCAAATTACTTTCCAGAAAAGATGAAGAGGCTGGCAGCTGCAGGCAGGGTGCGAACGCCTGTCTTCACACATTCCAATTCACAGCCGGCACTGTCTGGGGTCAGTCTTCTGCATTTTCCCATACCTGGGTGTGTGGGGCTGGGGGAGAGACTGTTTCAATGTGTTGGTTCTGATTAGTAAGCTTATTTTTAACTGGTGCTTTCTCCATTCCCAGTTTGTCTGCCGACTGGGTGAGGTGGTAGGAACCGGTCTCCCGAGGAAAGGGCCAGGGGATGGAGGTTTGAATACTCAAACCAGCCTCTCATAGCTCAATGTCTTGAATCTTTCAGGGTCTGGGGCCAAGTGTGTTGTTGGCTCGGCTCCTCAGAGCCTGCCCAAGGTCAGAACACCCTGGATGCTTTGAGGCTGGATCTCTGCCAGACTGCGTCTCTGGTGCTGCACCAAGAACACCCAAGAGATGCCCGCGGGCACCTTGAGGAAGGTCAATGGCTCTGAGCCATTTCGTACCGCCTGGATGCAGT